TGTTTGACACAAGGGAATGGCTATAAGGTATGTCAGATTGGTGAAGGTGATGTACAAATATGGTACACAGGTCAGCTGTCACGTTGTATAAATACACGACTTTTATGATCGAGTAGGAGCTTGTTATGGATGCCCTTATCTGCGACTTTAGTATGATTCTCTTTAGCCAGTGAATTTTGCAGTACAGTGTGAAAGAGCTGGAAATAAATTTAGCACAGTGAAAGATAATAGGATAGGAGTTTCCCAATCAACGTAATCACGACGGAATATCTCGTTTATTAGAAAAGGGAAGACAGGCACAATAAGTCGCTGTATTTATGGTGCGTTCGGAACTGCTCGTCTATCTCGTCCAGACCAGTTGGACGAGATGTTTTGACCGTTCGGAACCTCCAATATCTCGTCCCGGACAAGTAGTCTAGCTCGTCCAACTCGCCCTCCTGCGAAGGCGGCTGAGCAGGACGAAATGACGTCACAATAGCATTTGTATGTAAACATTGACAGTTGCAGGTAACCACAAGATATTGGTGGGAAATTTTATGACCCTTTATTGGTGTTATCAAAGGATATTTTTGTGTTTGTCAGTTGCAGGTAAGTTAAATGTGCATCAAAGGAGTTACAAAACCTATACAGCGTGTAAAATAAAGACACCGGTATGATAAAAAAAAAAAGTGAATGTTTACATTCGATCCGGTTGCATTCTGGGCAGAAAGGGTCTTGTTCCCTGCTGGTCCTGGCCAAGATGTCTGGACGAGGAAGACGAGCAGTTTCGAACGCAGCATTAGTATTTTGGTTCACATGCAACCGGAAGTGGAGATCTTGGTATAGAAGTGAACGACAGAATATAGACAGGGTGGAAAACTTGGAAAAGCATCAAAGACTGAAGTGTGACAAGAAGGTTGGTGTAATAATGAGTGGAAATTTATAAGTGGTTATACAATCAGAAAGACCAGTAAATAGAGAGAGAAAAAAGAAATTGAAAATGCGCTACATTTCTTTAGAATTTTAACCACTCGATTTTGAAGTAAAGGGCAATTATAGAGATACGAATTAATGATTTTTTAATGCAAGTATTTTTATCCAAATAATCCATACATGGAACCACCTTTGCCCTAAGTCCCGTTAGTTTTCTTCACTGTGAAAAGTTCGACAAGATATACAATTATTCCCCCTATATAGAAACAGACGTATTGGCTGGGCGGACAAATTTGCTCTTGGAATACATATGATAATAAGGCAATTCAAGAAACTTCTTATCTCTCGCCATCCTTCCTCTTGCAAAAATAACCTAAGATCCAGATAACGATAATTTTCAAGGGGAACTAGAAAGACTAAATTCCATTGTGCTTCTTTTGCTGCGTCTAAATCCTACAACAGCAGAGTCCTTCACAGCTTCCCTAAGGAGTCCTAAGGAGTTCTTCCGACGTCGGGGCGATCACACCTGGAGGAGAAGCGTTCGGGGTCGAGCAGTTTGTTGGTCTTGAGGGGCATGTTCCTCCAGAAGTGGCGGACCTGGAATAGACAGGGGGTTCACTAGGGGTCGAGGCTGGACAAGGGCAGCCGATGGGGTCAAGTGCTGGGCATTTTTCAAGAGCTGATGATGTGCTGAGACTTATTATCATTGTATAATTCTGCCATATATATATATATATATATATATATATTATAATATATACATATATATACATATATATATATATATACATATATATATATATATATTTTTTTTTTTTTAATGCTGCCGCTATTGTTTTATTTAATTTTATTTATTTATTTTTTAATGCTGCCGATATTGACTTTTTTAATGCTGCCGATATTGATTTTTTTTCAATGCTGATATTGTTTTATTTCAATGTCGCCGATATTTTTTGTTTCTTTTTCATTTCGATTTGCTATGAGAGAGACCTCCGTGCAAACTCCAAACTCGTATAGAATTCTTATGTTATATTAATGATTTCTAATGTATTTTCTTTCATGGATAAAGTTACAATTTTGCAATAACTATAGTCTCTGTGTCTCTCGCCGTTTTTCCTGTGACTGAACTCTCTCTCTCTCTCTCTCTCGCCCTCTCCTCTCTCTCTCTCTCTCTCTCTTCCTCTTCTCTCCTCTCTCCTCTCTCTCCTCCGCTCTTCGCTCTCTTCTCTTTCTCTCTCTCTCTCTCTCTCTCTACTCTCTCTCCTCTCTCTCTCTCTCCTCTCTCTCTCTCTCTCTCTCGTCTCTTCTCTCTCTCTCTCTTCCTCTCTCTAACTCTCCCCTCTCCCTCTTCCCTCCTCCTTCTCTCCTCTCCTCTCTCTCTCTCTCTTCTCTCTCTCTCTCTCTCTCTCCTCCTCCCTCTCCCTCTCCCTCTCCCTCCCTCCTCCCTCTCCCTCCCTCCTCTCCCTCCTCCCTCTCCCTCTTCCATCCCCCTCCTCTCTCTCTCTCCTCTCTCCCCCTCTCTCCTTCCCCTCCCTCCTCACTCTCCTCCTCCCTCCTCCCTCCCCTCTCCCTCTCCCCTCCCCCTCTC